TGGTTCTCAGGCAACTGGAAGCATTTGCATCATCATGCTTGAATTCCATAACCTCTTCTGATTAGATTCCTTCTTCTATTTGTAATTTTTCCTAACTTCAAATAAATATTATACCTGGAAGTTTTCCAGTTGCCCTTCTCAAGAAAATTTTGTCACATTCCCTTTAAAACATTAAGAACTCGGTAGCTGCATTCGTTATTTCGTGCGTGTCAGGACCCGTAACAAAGGAGTTGGTTTGGCCAACAGCTCTTTGGTGTTGCAAAGTTATTTCTGATGACTCACTCTGATGAGAAATGGTTTGAATCCTGTTGGCAGTATCCTACAGCAGCAAGACTCAGGTCAGACAGCCTCCTTCAGCACTCAGGATGCTGATCAAGAATGAAGATTTATCCAGAGGACAAAAATCGAAACACAACCAAATTTAAGTTACTCTCATTGTTGGCACTGAAGAAAAGCTTCAGAAAAATATAATTTACCATGTAAGTTGAGGCAATGCCAGGATGTCAGCCTGCAGGTAGGGGTCTGCATGGGGATCAAATGGTCCCATGGCTGGGCAGCAGCACAGCTGTCACAGCCCATGGGCAAGGGCTCAGGGCCAGTAAGGACTGGTGATGTCCTCAGGGGTCTGGCAGGGAAAATCTTCTAAGGAAGCCACTTGTCTATTTTATGTATTTATGTATTTTAATGAATTCATACAGAAATAAAAATTGGTCAGGTTCTTAGAATATTATCCATCTAAGGACCCAGTCCAAAGGCTACTGCACTTAGCTAGGTTGGCTGAAGGGTCAGGCTAGGGAAGGAGAGGTGGTTGGTTGAGGTGACACTCGCAGATCAGTTCAAATAAGAGATAAAATGCTACTTTAATAACATTAACTGGAAAGCCTTATGCTGTTACCTGCTTTTCCTTTCTAAACACACATTTCTAATAATATTTTATAGAGACAGTGCTGCTTTAGAAGCCATTCACTATTTTGCATTCCAGCCTCATTTAATCTTTTCTGTCAGACACCAGCTACAATTAAGTTCATAGACTTAACGTGAAAATCCTTATGGGAATCAAAATGTTTCTGCTTTATGCTCTTGTGCTGATTTTTATCTGAGGATCACACAGTGTTTTACCACTGATAATTATTCTTCCCAGGAGCCCTTTGATACAGGCAAGAAATATTATTCACGAATAGTAATTAATGTGAAGAATGCCACAAAGATGGACAACACCTGTCGAGAAAAGAGGGCTGAGCTGAACCCAGAGCCGTCACACTGAAGAACCTCTGACAGCCTCTCTTTGTTCCTCAGTTTCCCTGCTTGACAATGACACCTTTCTTGCCATGGAGTGCTCAAGACGTAACAAGAAAAACTCTTAATCGTAGAGTTAGGTATTAAGCCCTTTGGACAGGATAATAAATAGATGCAGATCAAAAGGCTTACTCAGCAGAGCACAGTAAAGCATTTCTGCTTAGGGAAGGCATGGCACATCATGACTTTTTGCAGGTTTGTGTAGGCTGATCTTGTATTTGGTATGCAAACACAAGGAAAGTGAAGTTTCAGTCTGGATGAAAGCTAATGGAAACATACTCTACAAAGAAGTGATTCATGAAGGCTGCGTATTGAAACAAAAGTGGCAGATTGTAGAGAGTGGAAAGTAAAACTCACATGAATAACTGTGTTCACTTCAAAGTCATATGCTTCATTTTATCCATTTTAATAATTTCCCAGTTTTATTTACCTGCTAACTACAAAGGTCAGGATGCCAATTGCCCTGCTGTGACACTTAATGACATCATTGTCACCTAACACAGAACAGGAAGGGTTCTTTTCTCCTCTTTCAAACTTTTTAAGGTATGGCGGAAACCAAATAACTAAAGTCATCTTTATACCCTCTACTGCTGGCACATGTTACAGGAATAATTAAAGAAGTTGGTTCGTGTTACCAGTGATCCCAAGGCAGGCTTGCCAGTAAAGCTGCTCTTTGAAGTTGAGCTAGTAAAATAATAATGAAGATATTAGAAGTTCTCACCTATTGATTCTGGTTTGCAAGTGCCATGCTGAATGCTACTGTCAGCCAACTCCTGCCAGTAGCCCTTGTGCCCTGTACCAGGTAACCTGTGTTCTTCCAAGGCATGTTTGCACAGCAGCTGCGTATGGATAGCAGAAGACAGCAGCTTCTCTTTGCGCTACCAGAATTAACAGCCTATGGGAATTAAATGAGCCCATCTCTTACAGTCATTTGGGACTGCACAGTTCAGGGACAACAGCTGACATCTTGCTCTGCGCCTGCTCCTGTTCAGATGGACATTTCTTTCACCTCTTACTGGTGTTCTGGCTTTGTCCAGAGCCCTCAGACCTGGTGGTCATGGAAACTCGCCCACTGACTTAGTTTCTTTCCTTCTGTCCCTTTCCTTCTAGGTCAACGTGATTTTGATTTAGCTGATGCTCTTGATCACCCAGGTAGGTAAAACTCCTATCCTTATTTTGCCATGGCATTTAGACTCAATAATAAATCTTAAGTCCTTTTCCTTGAGGACTGGAATATGAAGTGGGTAGTACTTAAGTTAAAGATACACAGAATTGAGAAATGCTAGATTTCAATGTTTCTGTCATAAAATTTAATTTTTCTTTAAAACAAACAAAAAATGGCTTTGAAAACATATCCCTTGAGTTTTATCTTCTGCCTTGATCCATAAAGATTTATTGAATGCAACTCTCTAGATTTGCAGATACCTTCTTCTGTTAAGTTGAAAAATTTTAAGCTCTTATTGTTTATTGTTATGTCACTGTGTCCAACAGATGACATAATTACCAGGAAGCCTACAGTGATCAGAAGACCAACAAGGCCTGTGCTGAGTGAGTAATGAAGAAAATGGGTTATAACTGATTTCAGATATGTAGAAGCTGTCTCCCATGAGATTCTTGATCATATTTGCAAATGTAGCACAGCTGAGATAATTTCTGTAAATACTAGCTGTCTTCTGTATGTAAAGTAAGTGAGTTTGACAATTACCAATTACGTATCTTTACTGCTTCCAGTAAGTATTTAGAGCACGACTGGCCACTGATGGCATTTTATTTCCTGAAGATCTTTTTGCTTTTCCAGCCTGTGCTGAACAGCCTGGGGAGTATTACTATGGGTAACTGTTGCTAAAAATGAGTAAATGTTCTTCTACTTTTTTTCTTTTTCCATTATCTTTTATCACAAATAGTCATGACACTTGATAATGGACTTGGCAAAGAATCAGAAGGAACTTGGGTATTCTTTATTCTTGCCATGTATTTATTTAATAATATCTAGTATTGATTACTACAATTGCTGTGTCAGAAAGGTTCTGAACAGCGGAGGGGACCAAAAGGTTTTAGCTGTAATCCTGAGGGTGACAAATGAAAATTTCCAATGAACACTCATAATTGTTGAAAAAACCCAAACCACAACAAAACCACATGTGCATCTGGGATGGAACATTTTGTGATAAGATTTTTCAGCTAAACTACACTGAAATAAATTTCTGGCTATCAAAAAAAAAAATGCTTGAATAAGGAAATGCTGGACAACATTAGCCCACACAACAACTTTCAGACTTTTTCAGGATAAGCGTTGCAATAAGTCTTTAGGTGCATGAAAACAGCTACATTTTCCACACTGTTCTCTGGCTCACTCTTTGAACTAAAAAGGCAGTGTTTTACAAATGCAGTAGCTACTAAATCCTGTAATGACTGCATTGTTTCTTCCTGCTTCATTTTGCAAAGAAAACTTGTGTTTGGCCTAGATTATAAGTGTCTGTTGTAAAGTATGGCTAAGCCACTGCTCTCTCCTTGGCTAGCTGTCCAGACTACCTTTAAAGTCTGTGGAGAGAAATCAGCATGTCTAGGGACAGTTCATATCACTCTCTATATGGATTTATTTTCATTCTGATATAGACATTTCAAGCAGGTTACTTGAACTGTGCCCTAAAGGACTCTGTCCTCAGTCATGTTTAAAGGTAAACTAGGCATGCCAATATCTACAGTGAAGCAGCCTCAGCCAGTTGAAAGGTATTTGTTTTTTAGGGACTCCTAAATCAATTAGAGATACAACAGTCAGATGATTATCTGCCCTATCTGAATCAATTTTGCTAATTCTTGGGAATTAAGAACTCCATGTTTTCCAGACCATTTTGAAATCCATTTCAGCACTGAAGAGGACTGGGGGGAGTTCAAATGCAATTAAAACTAATTTTTTAAAAAAACAGTGTTAAAAATCAATTACTAGATTTGGAAACGTGCAGAAAGATGAAACAAAAGTACATCCTAGCATCTGCTTGATGCTTCTTCTTAACCTCAGGGTTTCCTCTGTCTCATTCAACCAGTATCACTGAGAAATAAGGCTGGATGAGATGATTTTGGTTGAGCTGGAGCCAATTACTTTACAGGCTGTGTCCTCTGGGCATCACTTCCCACATAAAAACATTTGCCTGAGTTGAAGCTTTCCTGTAGGCACCTTCCATCTAGTGTAACGAACTCCAACACAGAACTCAATGGAAGGAGAAGGTGTGTTTATTGACAAAATCTCAAATTAAGTTGATTTCACCCACTCTTATTCATCCTGCCATTGATTTAAATCAGTCCTATGCTCAAACTCATGAGCACCAAATGTTTGTGCTCAAGTGGTGAGCATCATGTGCAACAAGAAACAAGGTAGGCCAGCTACTGAGTCCTTACCCTGTCTCTGCAGATCTTCTTGATCAGAAATGGCAAGCTAGCTTATGTACAGATCTTTTACACCCTTTAGGAGTCATCAGCTATTATGGAGAGGTCTTTTGACTCATAATCTAGGTTACTTCAGCACCTAGGCCAGGTTGCTGCTCTCCGTTTTGCATGTTTGTGGTACAGAGACTATGTCTACAGCCTATTTTCTGGGTGGGCGAACGGGAAGAGTAGTGAAATAGGTGATGTGCTGCAACCTTTGGCTCTAGAGTGCACTTCTGCTTTTCCTCTGCTAACAAGTCATCTGTACTGTCATCTTACCGAAGTGCAGACCTGCTGGTTTTGACAGAAACAACATATCCCTCAATTTTACTGCTGGAAATGGTGGCCTTTATTGTCTGTTCTTTTAACCCTTTGCTCTGCTGTTTCTTCTGGTTCCTACAGACACACGCATTTCCATTTGTATTTCATTCATACCAACCTTAACATTTCTGTAACAAATCTCTGCATGAACTCTCTAGAGTGGAACCCTGCATTTTACCTGAATTCTTCATCTTGATAACAAATTGAATCCAGTTTGTAATTTGTTGCTTCTACAGTGTTAGCATTTGACATGTGAAGGTATTTTTGAAATGCAACTCTCTGCTGTCCAGGCACAGCCAGGATCAACACCTGGTTTGACGAGAACAAACTGAGCCATGTAGTATGAACTTTATTATCTTCCTGCCAGATTTCCTGGTGACATCAAAGCATTTCTGAGTTGTTGCACAAATGAGACTAGATACTGTGCAAAGGAGCAGCTTCCCATTCCCTTTGGATATAAAGAACACATGAAGGCAGACTTCTGCAGGGTGATGTATTTGGATGGATTTTCCTGGGTTTTGGGAATTCTGACACAATTATAACGAAAAAAAATATATTTAATTGAGTGTCTATTTCTGTGACAATAAGCATCAGCATCAAATTCAGGTAGATTTTGCTATCCCTTCTGATTAATTCCAGCACTCCACATTTATAAGAAAGGGATCCTTGGAGTTATGACATCCATCTAACGTATTTCTGCCTATTATTCCGTGACCTTTCAGAGCTCACCATTATACTGTACACACTCTAAAATATCACCCCCATGCTCATATCCACATCTGCACATTGGAAATGGAGTTCCTCTTGTTCATGCATCTGCAGCTCATTGATAAATTGTTTGCTGGAAGGAAAATTCCATTCCAGGCACAGTGAGGAATGTGTGCAGTGCAGGGGGAATGGCAATAGCCTGTTGATTCACTCTGCAACATGCATATGCAGACATTTAAGTATAGTTTAAAAACTTTATAGTGCTGGTAAAGAAAACCAGACTGTCAGCCAACCTCAGACAAGTGTGTATGATCACTTTAAACAATTTTTTTATGTCACCATGACCCTTACATAAATTAGTTGATTCAATTTTCTCTCCCTAAGTAGGTTTATTACTTCCTTTTATTTGTTCTTGAAATAAGTATTTAGTTTTTGCAGTTCAACAAATTACACTTGAGCCAAACATGCACATACCATTTTAAACCACAGACATAAATGTTAATACATGTATTTTAAAAATAGATACATTTTAATATCTTATCATAGCTAATTTTGTTTATGTACTTGCAAATATATTAAAGAGGCACTGATCTTGATTCCATTATGAGATTTATTCTGAGCTTGCTTAAAGCAGGGATAAATCTTTCATATTTTGAGTAGGAAATAGTGTATCATTTATCAGTTACTGTGTGGGCAAATATTAAATTCAATAAGAGGTTTCAAGAGAAGTGTAATACCTTATTTGAATTTGTGGGACTGACCTGAAAAAACTGCCTGTCAAACATCCAGTTGTACATTTTCTGTTAAAACTAATGTTTTGCTTCCTTCAAGAATTGTGTGTAACTCACTTCTCTACATCTTTCTCCTTTCCACTTTTAGACAATGATCTGAATCTAGGCGATGCTCTTGGTGGAGGTGAGTAGTCTTTTCTTTTCTCAGATATAATGGTTGGGGGTTTTTTGGCAGTCTTTTTCTGAAGCCTGTCTAATTTATGCAAAGAAATTTCAAGACTGGAGGAAGAGCTGCAGTAATGGGAGTCATTACAACTCATGTACGCTTTTGCCAGAGGCCATCATGCAGAGCGGGGACAGCAGGATAAGCTGTGTCTGGTTGTCAGCTATGAAAGCTTATAGGCTGGTCTACCTGCATGAACTAAGTCAGCTGCAGTTTACATGACCATGCCAGGCTACCATGCTCATGGCTGGGGAGAGGATGCACTGCCCATTCAGCTGTGATGGTTCAAGGTGGTGGCCTCTGGTAAAAGGTTGAAGACAACAGGTGATGGCAGTAGTTTCTTCAGCTACCAAAAATGAGCCTGCCTAAGATTAGGAATCAGAGGTAACAGTGATAGATTATATAGATAGAAGTGTGAGCTGCCTGTAGCTCTACTGGTCACAAATCAGAAATACAGGTAGGAATGTTTCAGAGATGAGCACTGATGGAGAAGATACAGCCAAAACCTGAAGCATTTTAGCTGTTGTAACCTTCTATAACACCCAGAGTCAATGCAGGAAGTATTCACAGTACTGTGCTGAGCTGTGTGGACATATGATATCCTTGGCTTCGGGAAGTTTTGCACCACATTTTGCTTAGTGTGTTTAGAGGTATACCAAGGATGTGAAGTACTCTAGAAAGGTTCTTGTACACTGAAATTATCTAAAATGCAAATAGTATTGAATCAAAGCCTAAAATTCCACTTGAATCAAAGCTACACAGATGAAAAATTACTTCTCAGCCCATTGCACAGAGGCTCTGAATTATGACTCCAGTTGCAATGTCCTGGTTTACTCATGTTTCAGTCTTAGAGAATTATAACTTGTATTATACTTTTCCATTTCCAGGTCTTTCTGCATTTCCAGGTTCCCCTGTGGCATTTCATGCCTGTGTCTGAATGACATGTTAGTCCACATTTTATAAAGCTGAATCTAATTTTGTTTATAATTCCCATGTTTATACTGTCACTTCTTCCTGCCCATACTAATAGTTCCATACCTGTAAGTTTTTAATGAGCTCTTTGATGAGAGGATGAATGTAGTGTGCTGATTAAATTATTAATGAAGAGCTTAAGAATCTTCACTAAACATCACCTTTTCATTCAGAGGACGGCAGATGATGTTTCCCTTGGTTTTTACTTCTTTGCTCCACTTTCAGTTCAGGTTCTTAATTGACATTCATATGTGATGTAATGGGATTAATGATACTCACCTCATTATCAATAGTTCTGAAGACATTATTTTTTTCACTAGCTATGCCATAGAATGTACCTTCTTATGATTAGAGACAACTGAATAGATGCAGCATCATAATAGAAACAAATAATGGGACTGATAGTTTTCTGCTTTTGTGCCATGGTGAGTCTTAGTTCATTACACAGAGTACTGGAACAGAACAAGTCTATTCTTTAATTGAATAGAATAAATTGGGCAAAGTCTGATTCAGCAAAGCTTTAAGACTACCTGAAGTCCATTGACTGCAGTAGGCTAAACTCACCTAAGCATATATCTAAATAATTTGCTGAATCAGAACCTAAATGTACTTACAAACAGAAGCATTATAATTAGCAGCTATGCCAGAAGATGACATGATAAAAAAGCATCTGGCATGCATTGAACGTGAAAGAAAAATTTAAGAAGAGGAAGGGAAATTAGTATTTATTTCTGTGACCTAACTTTGATTTATTCAGAGCTAAAATCACTGTTTGGCTATGAGAACAGTTAAATATGTGACTGAACTGGTTGTCGAAAGGACAGCAAGAGGAGATCTACTCTATATGTGCAGAGCAACAGCCTTGGGCATTAACTTTGGCAGGTTTAGACCCGAGTCAGCTCTTGCTACTCCAGTACTCTATGTGTGGTTTGGAAACTGCTATTAGTCATCAGATCTCTCACTCTATCCAATGTATCTCTTCCTAATACTTTGGCAAAAGGTAAGGTGAAATACCAGCACAAAATCCCAAGCAGCAAAGCTGAAGTCTGAGTACATTTTGCACTGTTCAGGAGTAGAGTATTCAACATGTGTTAGGTGAATCCAGAACCACTGACACCTGCAGTAACACACTGTGTTTCCCAGCTGTCAGCATTAAACAGTGGTAGCACTTGCTAGAAATACATGAAATATCTTTCTTCAACATTTTTGTGAATTCCTCTCTCATTTTAACTTTGAAAATATTCACTTTTAAGTTTAAAATTAGGTTCAGCGGCTAGCTATTTGTTGATATATTGCTTGAGACTTTTTAACTAGTGACAAGGTCCTTTTCTTAATTCATCAGGAGGCAAACTTGCAATAGGTATAAAATCTCAGGTTATCATACTCTTTATATACAGCTTTTAGATTTGCTTGTTCAACCACCCAACAATATTAATTATCAATAGGTGACATCTCAAGAAAACCTTTATACCCACCTCTTCCACCACGACCAGGAAGTCATATGAATTCTGGTAAGAGTATTTTCTTCTAAGAAGATCTAACACTATGAGCCATTCAGAGCAGATAGTTTGAATAGTTTACTCTCTTATTTTTCTTTATTAATAGTTTTTATCATTCCTTCCTTCCATCTCTCTTTTGCAATCACTATTCCTGACTCAGTATTTGTAAAGAATTTCTGAGTTCTAGTGTTGGTACCATAAAGCTTTTCTGTCTGCCCAAAATGTAGGATGTTGACTCGTAAGTGGCACCAGACTAACACTCATCCTGTTTACCTTTTCATTTTGGCTATGTTTATACTGAACCATGCTAAGGTTGAAATCTGACATCTAGCCACAGGGTGTGGATAAGCCTGTGTTCAAACGCATACCAAGATATGCACCTGAGATGGCCTTGGGGCACACAACAGGTGGGACCAGTAAGTCCCAGTAAGTCTGTATCGCTTTTGAGTGTGGTCCCAGACACACACTTAAATAAAGTCAAAATGGCACATTTATCCCAGCTACCACCATGTATCCCATATTTACTTCTGATATGTTTGTAGTGGTGAGCATTGGGCAGGTCCTTCTGGAGTCCTTATGAAGTCTTTCCTGGAAAGGACCCACTGACTTCGTGCTACCAGAACTGCTGGGATTTGAGGTGTCCATATTATATAAGGATTTGTGCTACTGACAGCCCAAGGCCACTCATCCCACAGGCGACAATACAGATGCAGAATGTGTAGACACTAACAGTTTCAGTACTCCAGTTTCCAGGAGAATTTGTATAAGTGACCATTCACTGCAAGACATCACACCCATCTACCATGTTGAAATTTGGATTTCAATGGTCTTTCACCTCTCCCTAGAACATTACATAAAGGCTGGTCTCTAATATTTTATTGTGCAGGAGGTTTTGACGACTCAGATCTCATTGATGGGAAGCCTTTACCACCGCACATAGCAGGTAGTATTTGCCAATTCTCCTTGCAGCTTCTCCCTAATAATTGTAACTAGGAGCTGGCTGGTTTTGCTTCAGCGGCAATCTATTTGTCACTGAAGATACAGGACAAGGCTCTGCTGTTTTCATTTAGATTAACTATCCTTCTCCACAAAGTATGGGTTTGGGCCTGAAGCTCAAACTTGAAACATATTCCTAAATATTTTGTAGCATTCTGGCATATGCCAGAATCCTTCAGAATTAATCCCTTTGACTCCAGCTAGGACAGTCCCAAAGCAAGGGACTCTTGCCGAGAACTGAAAGTAGATGCACCAGGCCTATGATCTAGACTTAAACTATTGATAAATGATCCAATTATCTGACAGTAGAGAATAGTCAGAGTATACTGGCCTCTCACTCCCTGTGAAATCAGCCTGATGTAGCCTGTTAAGTATTATCCTTTTTTAGAAGACAATATTTTTCTCTAAAAACAAAGTGTCAAGATGGTGGACTGTTATTTCTCCAGCCAGTGCAGCTGTCAGTCATGAGTGGAAGGGGAGCTCCTCTCTCACAGTCCTGCTGAGTTGCCCCTTTCACCTTCTGTGCAAAATCAAGTTTTGCTGAGTAAAGACTTTGTTCTCAAAACAAGATTAAAAGCTTTTCTTGATGAAACTTCACCCTATATTCCAGGAGAAGAGAAGCATCATTTCAATCAGGAAGGAAACACAGGTATAGTGAATAATTTACTCTATAATTTGTTTCTGATCATCATGGAATAGTAAGAAAATGTTACTCTTACAGAAGTAGTACATATATGAAATTAGGCTTTAAGACACCATTTTCACACCATCTGTAATGTAACATTAATTTCTAGTTTTCTGCTTAAGTCTACTTAATAAATTTTCAATATTTCACCACACAATTCTCATAGTTTGGCAAAAGCACACCTTAGTAGAAAATATGCTTATGTTGAACCATTTCAGTGCCTCTGAAAAAAAACTCTTTGTTTTTCCACAGATTCAGGATTAATAGCTGGAGTTACATCTCCTATAATTTCTGCTTTTGTAATATTAATTGTTGGATCAATAGCAGCCTACTCTGCTTACAGGAACAAGAGACTTTGTTTCAAACCACATGGTAAGACCGAATCGGTTTCAAATAGATGGGAATTTTATAAACTGTTTCAGTGGGAGCAGAAACAAGTCAGGGATGAGGGCATTTGAAAATCTAGTCCTAAAAAACCTCACTGGTATGTAAGAGATACTTGGTAATTAATATTCTTCATCACAAACAAGTATAGGAAGATATAATGAACCTAGAATATGGATGTACATCACTTTATGAAGGGAATTACATGACGCGAGGTGTCTGACTGTTGTGGCCCTATGCATGGCCCAGACCAGCCTTGCCTGGAGCACCCCATGTACCCTCTGGCCAGGGCCTCCATTTCAGCTCTGACCTGGGTGGGCTTCCAGCCACATCCTCGCATGCCTGCCCCAGCCATGAGCCCACACGGCTGGCTGGGTTTTCTAGCTTGGCCTTAGACCAGGCTGGTTATCTTGTCTTCACCAGCTGATGTCTGGCCTTGACCACAGGTCTCATTTTCCATCTGTGTGTGCCTGCCACTGGAGGGGCAACGGCTTGGGCTCCCTTGCAGCTGCCTGTGGCTACTGACTCTTTGAGCACAGAAGTTTCATTATTTGTTCCATAATGGGACTAAAGACTAAGACATGAGTGAAATGCAGAAGATGTGTGGAGAAGCTTCACAGGCATTTCTGAGAGATCTGGGATCCCCTGACGCTTCAGAAAGCCTCAGCCCAGGGGAGAAGGTTTGGTCAGGGTTACACAGGGGAGATCCAGCTGGAGCATGTCCTGGGATGCCCCAGAGGAGGCTGTTCAGGACCATGGAGGCTGTTTGTGCCCTCAGGCTCTGACAGTCACTTATTTTCCTCTCTTCTGGCCATGATGTAACTAAAATATCAGGCCAGTGATCCTGTGGATCTCTGGAAATGGAGAGTGAGACAAATGGGAAAGGCTGTCTATATGTCTCTGTCTATACATCTCTGGGGATACAAGGATCCCATCTGCTGCCTCAAAAGGACTGGAGCAAAAAAAAAGCCCAGTAAAGCTGGCAAAGGGGATCTGTGGTGGAAATACTGAGTGTTCGATCTTCATTTTTCAGGTGGGGCTACAGTGTAAATCACTGAAAGAAGAGTTGTTTGCTGATGACAGGCTCCTTCGGTTGGTGACAGTTGGCCCACAGATCCAACAACCTTTTTCTACTTTATTATTCTGACAAAACAAAATTTTAATGTGATGAGTGTTTTGCCGAGACATTGCAATCCTACTTTCTTTTACCCAATGTCACTCTAGCATCTTGAGCTTTATGTCAGCAAAGATGTACTTAAAATATCCTGGGAAGGTATTGAACTATCTGACCTGCATTCATAAAGGTTGACCTGCATTCATAAAGGTTGAATACAAATTTTGATTCAGAAGTTATTTTAAACAACAAAGAAATCAAGTTTAATATAAACTAAAAATTATAAGATTTTGGTTTGTGAACATCTGAGTCACTGAATATTATATTTTCCTGTTTTCAAAATTAGCCAAAACACTTAATCCTTCTGATAGAATAGGAATTAGGACGTTGCTGTTTACATTTATACATACTGGGTTTATTTAGTGTATTTCTATATTGTTTATAAAGTTGAAAGAAAACTTTAGGTTGTATAAGGGATTAAAAATTTTAATGTCTTTAGTTTGTGTTTATGTCTGAATTCTAGCAAAGTGAAAGGAGCTATAGATAGAAATCTCATTCTTAGATTTAAAATATAGCATGAAAAGAGTATGTACATTGACAAAACACTGTTTGAAAAAATAAAAATAAGCGGAACACACGCTTATTCTTATTTTATTTATTTATTTATTTATTACTGAAATGGTGTTTAGCTCTTCTCAGGAACTGGAATTTGGCATAGATTTTGTTTCTCGTCTTGAAAAGTTAGGTCCTGCTCTAGGAGCTTTTAAAGGCATTAATCTGACTTTTTTTTTTTAGGAACCATATTATTCGTAATTTCTATAAAAGGAAAATAGGTACAAAGTTTTCAGAATAATTTAGAATGAATTTGTGACACTTTGTTTTATAAAAAGTCACATCAGCTTTTAAACTTCATACATATGCGGAGGTATGGTTGATACTTACAGTTTTGCTAGCAAGGCTGTTTCATCTTTTTTCCTTGTTCCTGATTAACCTTGCTGTGCTAACAAATGTCCTTATGTGGACAAGTCTATCAACAAAAATTAACACTTTTCCAGTTTCCCTGCCTTCTTTCAGCTAACTAAATCAAAATACTAGAAAATGAATGAAAAGCAGATGAAAGCTGGCAAAACTAGTAGTTTATTGACTTAATTCTGCAATACGGCCATTTTAGCTGTCTCTAAAGCATAGAGGAAATCTGTATGTTTTATCTTCATCTTGTATATGAAGCATGCTTTTTCCTACTGAAACTCCATGTAGATGGAGTTAAACATAATTTTGTGCTTATTAAATTGTTGAGAGAAAGACATAATCTGAAAATGTATCAATTTTAAATAAAATAAAAGAGTATTCTATCTAAATTATATTTCAAGTGGATATATATAAATTGCTAAGATTACCATAATCTTTATTGTGATCCTGGAAATAAAAAATGATAAAATACATCAGTTTAAATACAGAAGCATCTTAACAACACACAAACAAGCGAACACCTTTGTGGCTATCGCTTTCAACTGATGAACGATAACATAGTTTTATTATGGTTTTCAAGGACACTTTATATTTCTTTAAAAATACTAATTTTCCATGTTAATAGTTAAAAAAGACTGATATATATTTTGCCTGGTAGACCAAAGTTTTGATTAATGAAATGTTAAAATGTTTTGTCGTTACCACTTAAGTTGTTTATTTAAAAATGAACATATATATTTTGCTTCTTTCTCTTGAAAATTTTCAATAAACACATACTGTGTTTTATCTAAGATGATCTGAGGGTTTTTTTGTTTAATCTGTTACTTTCTGGGACATATGCCAATTGATATCTTTTATATAAAAATTCATCTATGTTGCACTAGGGAAAAAAAGGAGGTGCTTCAAATTAAAGACTTTAGGGGAAACAATGAAAACAGCTTAAGAGTTTTATTTCTTTTTAAGAAGCAGTGTCCAGAGAAGGATCTATGTACATTATTAATGTATTTGCTCTTGAAATATTGCTAAATTTTATTAAAATTTGTTCATAGTATTTTCAAAAGTATTTTCTTACTTTTGTTAATATTAGTAGCCAAAAAGCAGATCTTGTTGTGAAGAATTTGAGCAAAACCCATGAATTTGAATTGGTAAACCCCGCCCACACAAGGGTTTAACCCTTTGAAGCTCTTTGGTCTAATTGCGTCAACATACAACCAATGTGCAGGCACACTTTTCAGTGGTAATTTCCCATTTAACTAGGTTGATGATGATGATGGTGGTGGTGGTGGTGGTGATGATGATGATGAAGATGATGATTATAATATGTCCTGGTTTTGCTGGGACAGAATCATAGAACCAATTTTCTATCCAGGAGAGCTGACTTTCTGAGAGGAGTGAAGTGCTCAATAGACACTTTGTTTTGGTTTTAGTTGGGAGAGAGTTAATTTTCTTCATAGTAGCTGGTGTGAGACTTTGTTTAGGATTTGTGCTGAAAATAATGTGATAACAAAACAATGTTTTGGTTATGGCCAGCAATGCTGACATTAAGTCAAGGACTGACTGTTTTTCAGTTCTTCCAGCTTGCTTCTTTACAAGAAATTAGGAGGGGACATAGCCAGGACAGATGACTCAAGCTAGCCAACAGAAAAAAATCTATACCAGAAGCATCACACTCACAATAAATTGGGGAGCTAGCTGGGAACAGTCCACTTCCATCAGTGGTCATCATTCCTGGAGTGTCTCACACATCATTCATTTCCCAAGGCTTAGCCCTCCCCTGTCACAGACTGTCACGTTTTTGCTGGAGCATGGCCAACAACTGCTGTATGAGCTGGGCATAACTTTGATTGTTTTATTATCATTGTTCCATTTTTTAATCACAATTCATTAGTGTTATTATTATAATAATTATTATTATTTTAATTTGGTTTATTTCAGTTATTAAACCGTTCCTATCTTAACCCATGAGCCTTCCTACCTCTCACTCTTCCAATTCTCTTCCCCACCTCACTGGAGATGGGGGGAAGTGAGTTAGTGGCTGCATGGTATTTAACTGCTTGCTGGGTTAAACCATGACATAATGTTATAATTATTGTAACAATAATAATAATAATTATTTCAGATAATTGAGAGTTTATGTAGAGAAGCTCTAATGTATTTAAATCTGAGGAGGCAGGAAGGAATGTAAACTAGGTGTTAGACCACCAGAATTCTAGCTTGTATTATTGCTTCTGACATTTCAAATCTATTCTATAATGTAAAAAAGTTACTGATACACAAGTAAAACCAAGACCCATCTAAATCTCATGGCTTTTATTACTAAGAAAATGCTTTTGTTGATTGATTATAAAGCTCCACAACTGAAATAAAATTTTCTGTGACAACTATCTTGCTACTCATAAGCACATTGTTTAGTTGACCAATCTATATAAGCAGATGATGAATGCATTTCCTAAGAATTTTGTTTCTGTGGGATAAGTAAAGCTTGATTTCCTACATATCTATGTCCTTCTTTCATTAAACAAACACCTCTGCCAGTACTGGAGCCCTGACATCCTTTTTTTCCAGTGGACGTTTAGGGTACTCCCAGTGCATGAGAGAACAAATGCTGCAGCTTGGAGTGGTGGCAACATTGATTACTTGCAAATTGTTGGAAAGAAAGGTTTATATAGTTGAGTGGTATCTGCATTTTCTTTGGTGACACACTGTCTTATGTTGCTGTCCTCTGCTAAGTAGTTACTGATATCTGCAGGAACAGTTTGATGCAAAAAATGTCTCGGTTGAACCACGTCAGCCCAAAAACACTTTGCAGAGATGTTGTGTGGCTGAATTACATATAACAGTAACTTTCAAGTTACTGGCAAAAATACACTGTGAATATATGTGTGTGTATAAATGTATTTCTGACAATATTGAATAGAACAAGCTCTCTGGAAACATTTATTTTTTAATCTGGGTGATAAGTTATCAGACGGTGTGCATCCATAGAGGTTA